GTACTACCAGCCAAACCAGCGGAGGCTAAGCCAGCTTTAGGTGCTAAGCCTGGGCTGGCGAAGCCTGGCCTAGCCAAACCAGTAATCCCGGCAAAGCCAATGCTAGCTCTAGCAAAGGGGGCGCCAACAGCAAAGCCTGCTCTGGGTGCCAAGCCTGCACTCGCTCCTAAGCCTGGGTTGTCCAAACCAGGGCTGCCTCCTGCAAAGAATGGCATAGGGAAAGCTGCATGATTGTACTTTCTGAAGCATCAAGGGCCTTTAATGGAGAGAAGGGGCACGATCTGCTGGTGGCGTGCGTGACGACGTAGTTCCTAAGGAGCATGTGAGTACATTCAGGGATGACTACTCCTTCGGCAGCTCCTTCGTCGAAGGAGCTGCCGAAGGAGTAGTCATCCGTACGTCGAAGTGATTCTGCATGACTTCATTCTGCACCGTGTAGTATGTACAGTGCGCGCTTGACTACAGTGAGGGTTGTAGCGTACAAAATACTATGAACACTTTTCATTGAGGCTGAGGCACCTGGTGAATGGGGGTGGCATGGCATCTTCCTGCTGACGAAGGACCAAAGGAAATGACGTCTCTTAAGAAAAGCCTCCTCGCTTATCCAAAAAAGTGAGGCCAAGCGCGACTGTACCAGGCCCCTGGGGGATATGCAATGAAACGTCGCAGATAGGCCACGGCCATTTCAATTCAAGTGTTGCATTGTTGAATGACTGCTTGCGCGCTATGCTTGACTCAAGTTCCTTTCCGACCGGACAATGCAGTGCAAGTCCAAACGAGCTGTGCCGCGTTGCGTCTTTTCTGACTTTCCTAAGCAGAGCTGCTGCGAGTACCCTTCAGAACGGCAAGTTGTCCGCAGCTTGTATGCCTTTAGCTACTGCTCAAACCAACAGATTCTATGCAGGTTGCAGTATTAGGCATGTCGGTCTTGCTTTACGGCGGAACTAGTTAAAATAAACACCCGCAGGGCTCAGGAGAACAATACGATGCTCAACTGTTTGGTTTAGTTCAGTTACTTTCAGTTGCTGTGGGTGCCGAGGACGCTGCGTCAACGACAGTCAAAGGAGGCACACCATCTGCGCATTTGCGTTGTCGCTGGGCGAGGTCGAGATTTGAAGGACTCACATGTTGCTTCAGCATCATTTCTTGCAAGATTGGCATGGCTCGAGCATAACGGCTCGGGAAGCTGCAGTAGACTGGCACCAACAGCAGAACAATAAAACAAAAAATGCATGCTAGCGGGAATCCCAAACTAATGAAAATTATGAGCGGGGAGGGGTACACGACGTAGACTGTGGGCCAGTCCATTGGTAGTAAAATAGAGCCAGCAAGACACATTGTGCAACAAATGATCAGGGGGAAGACAGAAAGATATATCAGCAAGTTTGCAAGCTTGTGAGGATTCAGTGTGCTTCCTGCTCCCGAATCTGCACCGCGGGTCTTCGTTAGCAGCGTTTCGCACAGATATACGACAGGAAAGCAGAGGAAATCCAAAGTCCTCAGAAAACCGGCCACAAGTTTATTGGTCATACGCAGAAAGGGAGGGCACGCGCCTCCCGAGCGAGGCAGCAACGTTGGCGTCTGCGTCGCTGTGCCTTTCTCCGCTTCTTTCGTAAACTCTTTATTATCGTCGTCTGCATTCCAACGCGTAGAGCGACACGCTTCAGCAACTGCGCTGGCGTAAGGGCGAAAGAAACCCACGGTGGCAAAAAACACGCCCAACAGCAAGGAGGACGGGAACGCCTCCAGAGGAGCTCCCAACAGCTGGAAAATTGAGCCCGTCACTAGGACCCACAGCGAAAACAGAGTCAAAACTACGCGCAGGCACACGTAGTAGCTGCCTGGGAACTCGGATGGGACTACAAGCGCACAGGCAGCCGCAGATAGGCGAGCCACATGAGCTGACGCCCGGATCGGGGCCTTACTCATACACCATAAAAGAACCACAGCTTTCGAAAGGATCGCGCCAAGACCACAAACGGATGCTAGCACTGTCACGTACAACATGCTTGGTCGTGGCAGGTCAACATCATCTGACCGGACATCATCCGACGCCTCTTGGTACCAAGGAGGCCTCACATGCGCCAGCAGCGCAAGATTGCAACATGCCAGAAGCACATCTGTCGCTGCCAGTGCCAGGTGCTCCACCAGAGGAGACGCTGTAACGCAACGGCAGCAACTCCACTCCTGCCCGTCTAGGCCCAGCCAGTTGCGCTGGACACGAGACCGCGTGTAGGCTCTACCTCCACATTCTGCATCAACGGGTCTACGGCTAGACCCCAGGCCAGGTCTGTCTAGTTCCATGACCTAGGATGAGGGCTTCCCAATGCCGGAGGTGCTACAGCACCGGCTCATAAACAGCGAGGGCTGACGTCTTTCCAGCCCCCAGAAAGGATAAGTCAAGGTGTACTGAATACGACAATTAGCCGATCCACGTACGCTAGAAGGCGCAAAGCCTCAGCATGGGAGGCTGTGTCGGCCGTGCAGTGCCAGCCTGGTTTCCTCATGCATAGGTAGCGGGTGCCAGTGTGTCCTTGAAGCCGGTCCGAGAACGGACTGATCCACCATATATTTCAGATAAATAAAAAGGTATGTATCACACCGCAAAACAAACCAGCGCAAGCGACACGCCGCCCGTTGATGGTCTCGCTGCAGTTGGCTCACCAAGCGAGCAGTTCTCCTGAAGTTTACACGGCTTAACCACTTTATCAGTTATGTATAAAAAGGCCACTGTACAGTATTTGAGGCAGGCAAAGAATCATGTAGTTGCCACATTCGGCGTTTTATTCATTATGGCTGACGTGTCTGTCGCTTCTATTTCGACCAGCTACTCAAAAGGCTCTCCGCCTTCGAAGCTGAAGGCGCTTTCTATCCATCCAGTTACTGGTAATGACGCCAAGCATAAAAGGTTCCAAGGCTTAAGCACTATCCGTGATTCGTGTGGAGCGTCCATGTTCACGCCCACATAACTGACGAGCCCTGTCTAATGCGGCTCGCTGCTGGCAACACCTGAACTAAGCAAAAGTCCAACTTGAAGAGACAAAAACCCACGAGGATGCCTGTTACGGCATGTTGCCTATATACAGCGCATGGTGAGGACAGGTTTGCAGTTGTGTGTTTTCATCGAGCACAGTATACACACTAACGCCCGGCTGTGTGGACTCTGTGAAGAAGTACTCGCCAACAGCCTCTCGCTAAATTGAAAGTGTAACAAATCCACTGAAGTATAATCTTCGTTAGACTCTCCCGTCAAAACCCAACACTTTTTACGTAAAAGCTATCAAGCATCAAGCTTGGGTTTGGAGGGAGGCTGTCAGGATCACCAGAAGTTCGCGACATATCAAAAGCAACAGCATTATAAAATCACTTACCAAAAAACAAGGCTGCCTGCAGCTGTGCAGTGGGATGTGGCATTTCGTAGAGAGTACGAGCCACTAGTTACCAGCTGACATGGGCTCTGTTCATAGCTGCGATACAATGTGTTTGCTTGTGCGTAGTGAGTATCGATTTGTACATAACACGATCTTTGCATGGCAAAGGATAGGAGGAAAGATGCTAATGCCTTTCTAGTCAGGTTCGAGCTCCCGCGCATCTGCTTGCTGCCTGTGGTGCGCTCAGTTGACAATCTCCGTCAAAGTCTCTTGAAGGCAGAAAAAAGAGCCTAAAAGCTAGAGCTGCAGCTCAGGTACATGCTTGATGACGCTCTGTAAAGTCCGCAAGTAATTAAAAATGTACAGGCGGGGAGCCAGCGGAGCGTGATCAAAGGGGCAGCGACTCGTGAATGATACTGGGCGGCACGCATTTGCGGCAGTAAGATCAATGCTCACACATGAGCTCGTCGAACACCAGCATTACTGTTCGCCTTTGCCGGTGGGACGTGTCAAGACAAACCAGAAAGCGAACTCCAGATTCTCAAGTGGGCAATTAAACCCTCGAAAATGCTGCGTAGGAAGCCATAGTGACCGCTGAAGTCCCAAATATCTCAACAAATTCCTGCCACCGCTCCGCTGATTACGAATTTTGAGTAGCGCTTTCCATCCCATTGAATGAGCTTGTTAAGCACCACCGCCTTTTCCCCTTTCGCAACATTGCCATGCACATCTGCACGACTACGTTGGGCAAGGCTAAGATGCTGAAAGATCAGTTTTCCTATGCCTGGCAACGCTCAAAAAGAAGGGCGGCCTTCGTTGAGTGCCACTGTGGTCTTGTATGGAGAACAAGTAAGCTGGTACCCGAAAATATCTTAGGAATAAGTTGCTTTTCATGAGGAAGCACACACGGATCGGTGCTGTTCGCTGCGAAATCTAGTACTACATCCACATCTCCGTAATGAGGATGCACTGTAACAATGCCGTGGACGCCAAGGTAGCTTGCGTTTGGGACGGCTCACTTGCGACCCCTCACTTAGGGTGCCGTGCTAGCGAGGAGAGCAGCAAGCCGCGCTTCTCCCACAGTGTTGTATCTTGGCATGCATCTACAAAGGCCTGGACAATATGCGGTGGCAATTAACGGCCGCAGAAATGTAGTGTTGTAAGGAAAGGCCGATGACCCCTTTGAAAATAGGGCCTACGTTGGACTGGCCCTTGCTCGGAGTAAGGGCTACTGCGCGAAAGGTAAAACCAAAAACAGCAAGGCGTCACAGGTGGTGTTTCTGTGCCGTAGGAGACAGAAAGTCGAAAAAAAGAGGATACGAGCTGCTTTGCAGCATCCCCGTATGACTGTTGGGACATCTGTCCTCTACACATCAAAATAGCACATTGTGAGTACTGACGTCCCTTTGTTGTAGGAATTTTCAAGGAATAAAGAACAAAGAAGCCATCGTTCGCAGGCACCTTTTCCAAATTTCCAGCAGCAGCTTAGACAAAATTTCTCTTTGCTCTGCGATAGTCGCGCAAACCACCGTCGGCACCTCGCAGAAGCTGTGATGGCAAACATCCTGCATTCGCTCTTCTAGGATGTTGCCATTGTCAAATAAACCCGAAAAAAAGCATCTTCATCGCTTAATTCGCGTGATATTGATTGCATGTGCAGCTCATTGGGGCCCCCTGTAGCAGATATCCAGAGGCCTTGGCCGCTAGAGGAGTCAAGGCCTTCTCTTCCTCTTCACGTGGTTTTACAACCAACCACGGAAGTGCTGCTGGACGGCGAGAGGGTAACATTTCGCCAGAAAAGTTTGCGGAAACGCTTTGCCCGAGCGGCCCTGCCTTTTCAGGGGCGCCTGCACCGCGTGCTCTCGCTTCCTCTTTGGGCCTGCACAGCGTCAGAGGGCTAGCCAGAGCCCATGGGCTGGCTTGAGAGTCGCAATGGGAGGGACGGGCTGATCCGGCCGCCGCTTCAGCGTGCTCGACTAGAGCAATCCCCCTTACACTTGTGGAAGGCAATAAGGGAACGTCTGCTCTCATCTGCTGCGCCGTTGAATGGCGGCTGTCCATGGCGTTGTTAAATTCACATGCGTAGCCCGCGCCGGAGAGGAGTTCCTCCCCAAGAGATGTCTCAAGTTGACCCGTTTGCTGGCCTAAGAAGGGACGAAACTGAAGAAAGCTCTCGGAGCTTTTTGGAGTACCTTCAAATGGTTGAAGTAGACTCATGGGTGTGGCCACTGCATTTCCGCAAGAATACGGGCTGGATGGTGGGACACCGCCCGATTGGCCTAAATGCATGTGCTGCAAAAATTCGCCTTGCGACAAACCCAGATCCGGCTCCTGAAGGTTTCGGTTGGTGGGAAAAGCAACCAGCTGAGCTCCTTCAGATGAATGAGAGACACCCGAGGAGACGACTGAACCTCTGTCTTCGGCAGGAGCACTGAATGGCTGACAGCAGAAATAGTTTGTAGAGTAGTGTCCGTTTGAAGCCTTTGAATGCGAAGCTCCGGCCACTGTTGTGGTCCCTTCGTTGGCGTTCCAACTCGCCACAGGCAGGGCTTCGTCGGTCGCAGTCGTCACAGCTGAAAAGAACCCTGTGCTACCTTCGTGAGAGAAGGGCGACTTCTCCTTAGGAGACGGCCGCTGGTACATGGGGCTGTCACCCGTAGTAAACACTCCTCTACATGGCATCAGTGGAAGTCGCAGTTCAGGGGGGCGATTGGCTAGGGTCTCTCCCTCCCCAGGCTCCGTCAACGGCCCCCACTGTGCTATCGCTTCAGCCCCACCGCGTAGTTGCTGGCCGCAAGTCTCTTCTTCTGGAGGCTCCGCCGATGCTCCCTCAACAGCTGTCCCCTGAATCCACGAGCGAGAATCTACGGGAGTGTCGGGGGCATATGCTGCTCCTGGGGCGGATACAGGGAGTCCCGGGGGGAGTTGGGCTCCATCCTGCTGTAAGGGACTTCCATGAGAGAAGTACGGTCGTACAACACCATTGCTCTGACACTCTCCTGCTGCGCCAGGCAGGGGTACTCTGGGAAGGTCGTTGGTGGCGTCGGGGCGGGACGTTTTGCTAGAAGTGGGGGCTCGCCTACGTAGGGGTTGTGCAGTGGGGGATTTGGGACGCGGCGTTTGCTCAGTCTTCGAAGAAACGGTGCTCTGTTCCTTCTTACAGGCCCACTTGCTTGAGCTGTTGCTTCTTACTAGCCAGGCTGAATCGCAGACACCACACGCAGAACGTGGCACGGAATGAGGAACTAGACCATCGGCGTTTAATGATGTAGAATTGGAAAGCTATAGGTGGCTTGGTCTCTGTAGAAGTGGCTTTGATACGCCTCTGGTGAGCTCAAGCTGAAAAGGTATTGTGAGCTTACCGGGTTCGTCTTCAGAGAGGCCCTCTCCGTCACTGTCATGAAGTTGGCGTCCCTTGTCAATCACTTGTCTCAGAAAGGATCTCGCCAGCTCAAACTGAGATTTCATGTCTTTTTCATCCTGACGAAACACAAAAGCTCAAAAAACGACATTCCAGATGCATAGCACTGCTTGTATTCAGCAAGTACACTCTGACACAGTAAGCCTGCATGCTTGTAACATCCCTTGCTTCTCTGGGTCCTACCCCTGGACTGTATGGAAAGAGCTTCATGGCTTCCTCTTGTTCTCCTCGGTACTTCACTTTCCACAATCCCTGCTGGAAGTAAATGCCACGCACGCCACTGAATGGTTTCTTGCCCACATTAAATCGCTTGGCACGTCCTCCTTTTGGCCGGCTGATCTTTTTAAGCTGTTCCAGCTCCTCAAACCATGGATTAGTGCCATCTGTTCCGTTGGCTTCAGAATCTCTAGGGCACAATTCTGCAGCTTTCGCCTGTAGCTCATCTTGGAGAATTCCGGGTCGTGTTCCTACTTCTTGGGAAAGTGGAGGGCCATGCTCTGCCGACAGTTCTTGCAATTCTGCATTCCCACAGTTGGCTAGAGGGTTCGTGTATGGAGCAGTTGGGCTGTCGGAACTGATAAAAGAAATATAAGGCGAAAGCATGTGCTGGGTTGCTTCCCCTTTGCACTCTGTTGGGTTCGCTGCTTTCCCGCCAGAGCCAGCCACAAGAACATCTGTGCGCGACATCTGTCGAGAGCCCATGAAGGTGGGGTCATTGTGGATTTCAACAGCACCCCTTGACCCTTGGCCTTTCTTTACTGTTGCTCCGACCTGCGCTTCAGCTGCTTTCCGCACCTTTGTGGTGAATTCTCCTGATTTCGCAGGCTCCTTTCGTTTCTTGCACATCCCAGAAGCTGTGGGCTGCTGTTCCAAGGGACACTTTGCACCTGGTGGGGAAGAGGCACTAGTTCCGTGGCTGACTTCCCGTGTTGAAGCATTGCCGGCGTTCAGTGCTGCAGAAACTTCCGATTGTTGCTGCTGCTGAACAGATACAGCCGTGTTTTTAATTTTGGACGAATGCGCCGCTTGCGCATCTCCAGAGCTCAGATAGGAACCTTGAGATCCCCCAGGGGCTCCGGGACACTCTGTACAGGGCATAGCCGTAGGTACATGAGTTGGCAAGGGCTCTTTCATGAGAGAGGCAAGCGAGGTGCACGTTTCTTCGTCTGTAGGCAAACGGCTTGTCCTAAGTACAAATTTTCGGGCCCACTCGCACATGAGCCGGGCCCGTTCATAGCCATAGAGCTGCACACACACAAAGGAGGTGCAGCTGCTTACAAATGAAGGCAGTTCAATAAATCATAGCTCAAACGAGCATGCACAGAAAACTCCACAAACAAGTGGGGTTTTTATTCGGGATTGATGCAATACCGAAACAACAAAGAAACCAAGACTTGCACGCTGGTGATAGCAAAAAAGGGACTTCTCCCTTCGTGTCCCCTACGTTACTCGATGAGCGTGCAGATACCGTCAGGCGTGTTCTCTGAGTATACGCCTGTATCATGGTGGCAATTTGATCGCTTCCTGTGGACTCGAGGGTAACGAGGGGGCCCAACTCTCACCCGACACGAAAATGACTTCTGCTTCTTTGTGCCTTCTATCAGAAGTTCTGCTCTCCACGCCTCCTTTTTCCTATGAAAATACATTTTTGCCATTACTTCTGAAGGCCTCACTGTACGGGGTCGGGCGTTAGCCCTGGGAGCGGTATTGTTGCCTTCCCCCGCATCGACTGACCCTGAAGAGGGCTTGGTTGTTCCGCTGGCTTGGGTCCCCAATGGAGCCTGCCCTGAGGCTGGGCAGACGGCAGAGCCATTAGAGGTATCCTTAGTCCCCGCTTCTTCTACGCCAACTCCTTGAGAAGCTGTCGTCTTCCCCCGGGATTTGAGAGCCCCCTTGGCTGGAGAGTGCTGCTTGAAGAATTTTGCTGGTCGCGTGCTTGACGAACATCCCGAGGGGACCCCTCCTTCTGTCCCTGGATCACCTCGCCGCCTAGAGCCGCCCACCTTGCACGCCCGAGAGCTCTTACCTTCTGCTTTAAGTAAAGGCGCTGAGGGACCCCCCACAGGAGGGAACATGGCTGGTGGCGCCTGTAAGTTCCCAACTGGTTGCTGCTGCTGCATGGAATACCAGGGCTCTGTCGCTCTGGGCGCTTCTGGTCCTCCTCTAAGACCTCCTGGGGGGCTTTGAGGATTACCCAAGCACACACCGAAGGAATACGGGGAAGCAGCACTTGTAGGTGGAGGACTTAGGGTTTCGCGCTGTGGAGTGTTGCCAGTTTGCCAAGCTGCAAGCTGTGGCTGTCCCGTTAGATGCGCCTCAGCGGCGAAGGGGGCAGATGGCATGGATGACACGGTGTATTGGGGAGGTGCCTGAGATGGCATCATACAAGGGCTGCCGTATCCAAAGCCTGCGGGTTTCTCTGGTGGATATTCCATGGAGTTCTGCCAGTGTGACACTTCTCCAATGCTCACGTGGGGCGACTCCCCGTGGGTTCCTTGCTGCAGTACTTGGGAACGCTGTTGATGCAGGTGCTGCTGGACCATCTGCTGCCCATCGTAGTAAAGCTGCTGTTGCATCTGTCTATGCTGCAAAATTAGCCACGACTGGACGGAGGTCCCCTCTGCAGGTTCGGTTTGCACTGTAGCCCCTCCCAAAGAGCCACCGGGATTCATGGCTGGTTGCTCCAGTGTCTTGGTAGAGGTGCAGGGGACATTCGACATGGCCACACTGTGAAATATGGGCTGTCTGTGGGGAGGAATGGTCCCGCCGACTCCCCCGAAGGAGACAGCGGGAGGAAGGGATCCCTCTTGAGGTTGCTGGCCAGTGCAGTTCGCCCGGGAATCTGCCTCCTGTAGAGTTACCATTCGGCAATCACGCGTCCAGGAGCCGTCCTCGGAAGGCGGCGCCGCTCCTGTTGCTGCCATGCGTGGGGTTTGTGTTTACTTGCAGTGTAGATTGAAGCGTGAATTGGGTCTCGAGCTGGCATAGGGACCTCCCGCTGCTGGCTGCGGTGTATGCGGCTCGAACAGTTTCGAACTGGCCCTTTCCAGTGGCTGTGGAGGTGGTCTATGTGCAGCCTTCGTGCTTATGTAGAAAACCGGCGAGGCCTCGAGAAGCAGCAGGCCCAGAGGCGGGGGGCGGACGGGCGGCAGTAAGGCTCTCAGCATCACGCAATGCGGTTCTCTATGGATTCCTCTTTGCATAAAACATTTAAAGTCTTTATATGAGAGCTCATTTAGCAGGAGAAAAGGGGAGGAACAGTGAGACCTTAGCCGCTGGCTAGCCAAGACACGTCTCCCGCGGGCGCAGCCGACACAAGCCAGGGTGAAAGACAGCTGGAAATAGGGCAGATCCTGGGGCTGCCTTGACTGTTTTTATTGTAGGAATAGATTCTAAATGGCCTGAATTAGGTATTTGTGCCTTCAAAAGGAGAAAGAGAGATCAAGGCCTGGCGTGGGTCGGCAGGTGGAGTGGGTGTTTCCACATGCAAAGACCCGTGACCTGTCACCCCCTCGAGCGGTCCCTTGCGCTACGTGCCCCCCAACAGTTCCTATTAGGACATTTCTCTTTTGAAAATTAATCGATTATGAGATAATCTAGCAGGAAACAGCAAAAGCAACTGACGCTCTCACCACATACAAGCTCACACCACCGCCGCTGCAAGGGGGGCCTCAGTGATCGCCGTCACATGTGTCGCTCGCTGCATTTCCAACGAACATGTCTCAATCATTGCTAGCCTCTAATATGAAACAAAACAGACTTAAAGTAGAGTTCCAAGAAATCTAAAGACAATGCTTGAGAAGGAAACAAGACGCGTTGTTTGTGCTGTGTGCTTGCTGAGCACTAGGCCGTGTTACCTGCGGGACGGAGCAGCGCCTCTGTCCTTGCTAACAAGTGCTTCGTCGTGGCTTAGGCGTTAAATGGGAATTTTTACGGGACGATACAGGGCTAAACATAGCAAGCAAAGAAAGTCGGCTCCAGCGCCACACAACGCGCACAGGGAGAATCCACTGGCTGGTCGCTGTCATCTCTGACGGAAGCCACCGCTCATGATATCCTTTTCCACAACCGAGCGCTTGTTGCGTTTTCATAGGTTGCAGCATCTTCGTCGGTTTTCGCGAGATGTGCTGTGGAGCCAGTCAGCTCACGGGGCAGCACTGATGGCTGCGTGCGGGGAAAATGACAATATCGCACGATCCATGCAATGCAATAAGCTATCCTGAGATATTTGGTTCATAAGAATGTGCAAGTATGCACAACAGCACAACAGAGTACTACCGAAATGGAACAAGCCAAAGTGCAGCACCGCAGGAAAAAAATAGAGGGAAATATGCACCGTTGTAGCTGCGTTTACCCAGCAGTAAGAGGCTAGCCCTTCTCAAATTGAAGCTTATAGCTCTAGAAGGCTCAATGGATCCGCCACGATGCATAGTTTCGAGCCCAGTAGGCTGCATCCAGTTGTAAGGCGCTGTGTTTGTGGCTTTTAGAGGCCTTGACCGACAAGCTGCGGAGACCATCGCGGAAACATTGCCACGCTCTCTGTTGCACAACCCAGCAAGGGCAGAGAAGCTCTTTGGCTGTGAAAACGGTAAAAATATTCTTCAGAACACGTGCGTAGCTGACATCCCACAGAAGGAGGAAACGCAGGCAATGGAAGGAACAGCAGACTTGCCTATCTCGCTATAAGATTCCCACACAACAGAGTAACGGCAGCGAGCACTCAAAGCTGATGAGGGACATGGCAAAGAAGCAGCAGATGCCACAAACACCAGCATACCGGCGTAGCAAAAAAAAATAGCGGGACAGCGCTATAAGACGAATAACTCAACCATTTGCACAAGGCATACACCCGTCCGTTTATGACGAGCCCAATCAGAAAGCAGTGCTGAGCTGAAGATGGAATTAGGCAGCGTTGCACGTGCCATAAAAGAAAGAGTTGAAAACGGCAGATGGAAGAATATAGGAGCGGCAGTCATCATTCAACAAACTCATGAGCCACCTGCTGCGGTTCACAAACAAACCCCAAACTGATAGGAACCAACAAGCCGCGAAGAACCCAGCACCTCGGGCCGTATAAGAGATTGACAGACCAAAGACGTGTGCCTACCCAAGGCTTGCTCAGGGCAAAGATAAAGTCATGAAGGCGTTGGCAGCCATCCGATAAGAGAAAAATCACAGAAGGGGAGGCAAGAAAGGAGTGTTGCTTGCAAATAAGTTGAAGGAGCGGGCACTCAAACACAATCTACGCACACTGCGCTGCAGCCTCGTTGCATTCTTCAGGGAAAACTCACGACGAAGCTTTAAGCACTCTCAAAAAACAGAAAGAAGTATGCGGGGTAACTATCAGCTGTCGAAAATCAACCAACAAACCGAGACAACTTATAGCGCTCATCAAGTAACGATTTGTCCCTACACTTGCTGAAGCTTCTAGGGACAGACATGCCATTACCACTTTGCTCAGGGGCCGTCACCTTGGCTGACTGGACAGGAAGGGGAGGCATGCAGAGAATTTAAGGAGCCTATGGCGTCCGCTTCCAGGAAACGTACCGATTGAAAAACTTTATTTAGATTAATGATAAAGGTCGCTTTCTGGTCAAGGCAAGGGATGGCTACGAGTTACAGCAGAAGCGCCGTATTAGAACCATTAAGCACCACGTGGCAGGATGGCGAAGGGAGATATGGAAGGACAGCGCACGCGAGGAAAATTTGGCCGCATGCCGGCAGCAGACAGGAACAAATTTCGGCGACGACCGTCTGACCTGAAGTCTGAAGAAACGTTATTGGCATTTAAGGGAAGATCTCACCAGGCCTTAATCCCAGCACGTGCATAATTCAAAAAGACCAAGAAACCTAATATATTTCACTACTGCCAGTGCGCAATGGATCCAGAAGCGCTAGCACATATCCTTAACCACTCTTGCCCGCACCCCTCGAAAAGCATAACAAAAAGCTCCCAAGGGTAACCACAGCTTTCAAGAACAGAGCGACGAACCGGGATAAAACCCTTCAACTCCACGCCTGCCCAACGGACATGAAGATACTACTTAGGCCAGACATTATCTTTTGTGGGAAGCGACGCAAGAACATAACGATAGCAGATACCATAATTTAAAAAGGTTGAAGAAAAACATGTTTGTTGACGCGCGTCAACGACAGGAATACAAAAATCATAACCTCAGGAAACATCACAGATGATATGGCTATCAGGTGGCAGTTGAGGCACTTGTGTATAAACCTTTCAGCTGAACTGCACTGGAGAACAGAAAGGTGCCCAGACAGTTACTTAGAACTGATGACCAAACAGCACTGCCCAACAGGAGAGCTAGTAGCACTGAATGCCTCTGCTGCAAATTCACGCAAAAAAATACAGAAGGGCCGGAAGTCATCCTAGTAACAACAACGAGTGGTCTGCATAATGCTCTGCAGCACATGCTGTTCGCAATTAGCAGCCACAACTAGCACAGCGAATGTGGCAACGAGTGCGTGAAAATCGTTGGCTCGAGTTCAGAGCCTGCGCTAGAAGGCATTGCTTCTGCAGCAAGCTACAAACCACTTCTTACACTCACTGAGTAATGACAGCAGTACTCCAATGCAGCATGAGATAAAAGCGAGCTTTGGTGCTTCATTCCTGCATCGCCATGACTTTAGCTCGGAAACAAATTCAGTAACTCCAGCACTTTTCCCCACTGGAAGGCGATGCTTGTCCCTTTTTACACTGTCTTCCACTCACCAGTGCGAAATAACAGGAAAAAACAAACGAAATTTATTCGCGTTCGCGATACTAACAACTCTTTTGTTAGCGACAATTTACACTCTAATATGCTAAGGATAAACGCTACTCATCGTTGTGCAACTACTATTTTAACCTCCATTAACTTGACTACAAAAGCGAGCTTTCCCTTCACCACGTCCTTTGGTAAAAACAGCTATGAAAGGAATAAAAAATAAGTAGAGATGAGAGCCCTGCTAGGCCACATCTTGATAGGGAGACAACTGAAAGATGCGAAATGCCACGAAAGTGCAAGTGAATGGAACGAAATGTATTAGGCCCTAACTTGACGGCTTGGAAGATAATGATGCGAGAAGCCAGGTGTTATCAGGAGATGATGCCTGCAGCAGGGGTGATGCGGGGCTTCTGGCTTAGCCCCGAAGGTAGGGTACATCTTGTGCCTTTCTTTACATGATAAAAGTGAAATTCATGGGAGCAAAAGGTATGAGACTTCATGCAGAAAAGATCTGAGGTGAATCTCAAAAGACAGACAGGAGACCGCGAGCAGGCAAGCAAGAGAAACAGGGCACCAACTGCAAATTGCACGCCATGACCTGATATTATGGAAAAACCCCAAATCGTTCACTCACACAGGCCCCTAAACAAAGGCTATTTAAAGTCTAATATTTATTTCGTACCTTTCTTGTGAGCTGATCGTCCTGGCAGCTGCACTTTTGAATGCTGCATAGTACGAAAGTGGCCATTACTTTGGTTGCTATACTGCGGGTCGAAGTATGCGACCAAGCTGAAAGGCGAGGCATGCAGGCATTTCTGTTTTTCTCTTCTTTTGAAAAGCTACAGCGCGTGTCTCACGGACGACAAAGAAGAAGTCTTGTCGTGTGTACTTTTATGGCATGACGTGAAAATCAAAGCCAGTACAAATACGCCCACAGCTCCAGGGGTGCAATCCAGTTTCAGGCTACACTCCATACCTAGGACATTTACCATACAGCGTACGCTCCCTACAGTACCTACGTAGGTAAGCTCCTAAAGTGCTAACTGCTGCGTGGGTACGGCAGGGAAGAAAGCAACGTTTCAGCCGTATAGCATTCAAGCCAATAGGAAAGCGAAAGCACTGCAGTGTTGTTGCATTCATGAAGTGCTTTCTTTCAACCGCATGCTGCGCCGGACATATGGAAACAGAAGGAGGCTGCACTGCGGCAAGGCGTAGTCTGAAGGTGACGGGGCGAGTACCTTCTTCTTTTCACGAAAACAATAACTTTTAAGCATTGTTAGGCCAAGCTTGCTAGACTGTGCTTGCCTGCAAGAGCCTTTGGTAGGCCCAGAAGCTGGAGGGCAGCTCAACCGTGTTGCACCTTAGGATGTGAGAGGGGCACCAGATCTGCAAATATGCGTATCACCCGAAAGTAGCGGTTCTCGCCACATTTCCATGGAACTCTAAAGCAATAAATATTTTGGAAAATTTTCATACATACTGTGATGAAGTATTGATTGTGCGTCTCACTCTGGGCATCTTCCTCGAGGCTGTAGTTCAGCTCTATATCAATTTAGTGTAGCTGGCGGATTTCTCTATGAAAGAAAACTCTTCACACGCGCTAGATGCAGGTCCTGTTGAGTTGGGCTGATTTGTTGCGTTCTTCAGCAACCCAGTTCCCCTCGAGTGCCCGTGAAGCCGGCGGAATGACCTTTCTTATTTTCATCAAATTAAAGAGGTAGAGTTGTTTCAGTGTGCCATGGGACATAGGTCGTTGATCCTTCCAGAATTTTTGGTGCTGCTTTTATCAGCCCTTGCATCTGTCACCCAGCCCCAGAAGGCAGTGCATGCATCTGGTGGGCAGCCCCATGGCTCAATAAGCAGTAACGAAAGTCCCTTCAACTTGAACATGCTGAAGCACAAAATAACCATCAAACCGTAAGCGTTTGACACTTCCTGGATTTTTTACGTACTTTAGAAGATATACTTATTTTTCCAACAGGCTTGAAAAATAGTGCTCTCCGTTCCGTTCCAGTAGGAGAACCGCGTTCGATCGTACATCTGCTCACTTCCGTTTCCATTTTGAGCAATCGGGGCATGTAAGACAAGAGAATCTAGGTACTGTTTGTATAGTGCAAAGAATTGATCACAGTATCCAACTTATCAGTTGGAGATTCTTGGAAGCATTTGGAATTTCACTAGGATCGCCGTTATTTACTGCTGCTCATCCAAAACACCTCCATGGAAACGCCAGCGATTTACAAATCATGTGCTGGATATTCGTAGAAAGCTGACCTTTCTATCGAACTGCAGTGCGTCTCTCATTCGAAAAATTCCCTGTCCTCTTGTTCTACTAGGCTGGAGAGCAACAGCCTTCTGCTTGAGCTGTCACTGTTCACTCGTAGCAGCCTATACGAAGCACATACAAGGGAAGTTTACACTTATCTTTGCAAAAGAACGCACTTAATACGAAATCCCGCTAGGCACCGACCATGGCAAAGAGCAGAAGACAAAGTAACGTCGCTGACAGGTCATCAAGAAATCAAGGCGATCAGCCTTTGTCCCCGCCAACAGATACGAGCGGCATCTTCCTAAAGCAAACAGGATCTAATGATAAGTTGACTTCAAAAAGTCTGCCTGAGGAAGCTCAGCAGCTCCTTCCGTGGAAAGCTGCTAAAAATCTTGCACTGGTCTTGTCCGACGACTCTTTAGGTACCAGCCAGATAAGCAATGGCCCAGACACTTCTGAGCTAGAAGCTACGTGGAACTACCACGCAGGTCAAAGGCCTAAAGAAGCACAAGCGTTGGTAAACTCTGAACATCGAGGAGACGATAACGGAAAGGATGGGCAGCCCGTAGGAACAAATAAGTCTCGTGATGGTGCCTCTATTCGAGCTATTCTAAGCGTCCTTAAGCAAGAAATCGGCCCAGCCAACCGCCAATCAATGATCTGTTTTATTTGTGCGTTGACAACAACTATTGGATGCATTGTGCTGTTCACCGAACGGTTGGGAATGATAAGGCCTTTTCTCCTGCGTGGTGCCGGCTCAATTCCGGTCTTGTTGTCTGGCATTCCAGGCATCTGCCTTGCGTATGTGTGCTATCTTAAAGCGACAGAGAGACTACATAAGACAAAACAAGCAGCGGGAAACTGCGGTGTCAGTGAAGCAGGATCAGCTTTCTCGGACTCACCTTCTAGGCATGTGATGGGCAAAGGCCTGGAGACAGGACATCCTCCCGAATTACAAACAAAAGTTGCATTAGATGTTTTAAAATCTCTTGGAGGATTTATATTGTGGGACATGCTGAGGACATATGTTTCTCACTGGCCACTGTTTTATGTATCAACTGATGCTGCTGATGAAACTCTTGGCGAGCCACCATTGTTCGGACAATCCCCGCAAGGTGCAAGAGCTGGAATTCAAGGATACCCTCCTCGTTTAGCAGGACATCATTCTCTTTCGCCGCCACTCTCCCCGTTTTGTCAGCTCTTTCTTCCCCTGGTGGCTGACGGAGCACGCTTGTTGGGCCTTGGTTTCGCCTTAAAGAGCATACGCCAGACATCAAAAGGGGGCGGATCAGGTGATCCTTCGGCGCCTTCAAGCCGGTGGTTTTTTGGAGGAAGTCAGGCACTTTTGTTAGTGCTTGTCGCCCTTCCACTAGCTTCTGCAGCGATTCACCAGGGTTTCTGGGACTCTGCATGTCTGCAACCATTCACAGGTCTAATGCCGCTAATGGGAGAGCAGGCTATAGCTCAGTCTGGAATTTTGCTGCGTTGGCATTCTGTGTTTTTGGCGATAACTGCTGCGCTAACTGGATCAATCCTAGGCGCGGCTTTTGTGCGCCTTTTCCAAACACGCGGTAAAAGTGTTTCCACGGTTTTGGGACTCGCAGCTTCTGTTGCTTTCTTCTGTTGCATACTTTTTGACATCCTCGCCGCAGCAGCACCATCTGGAGAAAGATGCAAGTATATACCCTTCACAGCCGACATGCGTAGTGGTTTTGCCGCTGTCAAGGCATTCGCCATGGCAGCAACCTGCGCTCATTTAGTGGGACAGCTGTGCCTGAGTCTCAGTGCCCTCACCGTTGAGGTCAAGGACATACCTGTGCCACATACCAACAAAAAGTAAGCTACGTGACTCTGCGGCCTATCAGCAAGATAGCGGGAAGTGGACTCTGCCTGGTAATGGGCTGCCTAGAATCAAGTGGGCACTAGAAACTGGCTCACCACTGTTGGCGTCTGCCAGTTCATGAAGGTTAACGACAGACAAAAATGCACCTGTCAGCCATAAGGCAATCTCAACAATTTACTGACATGGGAAGGTTTTGTGGTACGCTTCGTGAAGCCTGTGAGAATGCTTTACACAAAAAGCGGCGGGCAAGACAGCGAAGCGTCAGGAGTTACCATAAAGCACGAAAGCCATCCTAAGAATACAAAGAAATCTAAGCATTTCTAAAATATTGGTATAAAGTGCTATGTAGAATCTGCATGGCATTAAGGGTGGCTAGCCCCCCTGCGGTCCGCTGGCAAGCCGGACTTTGGGGCTGGGGGCGGCCCTCTAACGAGCTGAGACACTGCGGGGTCAGCCATCTGGAACGAATTGCTCTATTCTAGGGCTTTCTGTTTTTATTTCTAAGTGTTTTTTTTGTTTTAGTATTTAATTTAGTCATGCATCGTAGACGACCTGGCTACGAAGATTAACATAGGCATTAGGCCGGGTTTGGTGCACTGCAGTTGAGGGCTACACCTTGTATGTTTGGACGCTTAAGCTCTATATAGAGAGAACATTGTGGAAATTTAGCAAAGGTGTAGGCAGTGGTTAGGCCGCGCACACTTGTGCACCATGCTGTAGTGCACAGGAACTACAGTAGGGCTTCCTGGTGACCCTAAGAAGATAGCTAGCTGGCGGCCTGCAAGAGGTCAACACTCTGAACGCGTACAGGACCTTCTTACTAGTATCGAAGTGAGGCAGTTTATCAGCAAGTTAGCATGGATACACTAGACGTGTTTGTGAATATCTGGAGATTGGGGCTGGCGATAGCTCGGGCTCCGGTTGTAGTGCACAGTGCCTACTGCTGCGACTACTGTAGTGAACAGCTGGCCTACACTGTTACTACGCATGGTCCCTGGGCTAGTCTGACTAAGTGCACACTCTACATCTACTATCTAAAATCCATGATTCTCGCCAACTACTTCTGTATACCCTAAATAGCCATATACAATTGAGTTCATATTATTGAGAGGTAAGAAAAACCCAAAATAATAGAACTGACTGTTGACCCTCGCTGAGGGTCAGTGCCTGAGTCACGGCACCAACCTCGCATCCAGCCCCATACCCGGTGCTGGCTAGCGAGCACACTATTCCCTTTTATGATTTCCTAATATCCAATGGTGCCTTATACCTTAAAATATTCTATATTATTCATGCCCTTTCGCGTTACTAAGCCTCGAGGGGTGGCGACGAAGGTCAATTGTAGTGCCTGGCACTACAACTTCCTTCCTGCTAACGAACAGAAACCGCTTGCCGGTTTTTTAGGTTCCGGCCCTTCTCTTCTCCTCATTCTCTCCGTTCCTCACGCTTCACAACAATCTCGGAACGTCCCACACGTCAGGGGCTGTGGGGCCATTGGCTAGTACGTCAAATCGGCCGACCTTCTAGGGGGTGGGCCGGCCTTCCCTGACTAGGAATTAGGTCTTCACGGATCTCGGCAGGTGCGTTATCATTCTCCGACCACTCTTCCTCCTTACCCAGCCCTTCTACTCGTAGACGTCGGTGTCCTCGGACGTCCTGTAGTCCACTAGTAGTCGTCTAGCCCTCCCTTAACATGATACTAGTGACATTAGTTCCTTGAAAGTAAGCAGCTGGCAGAGTCTTGGATTGTAAGGTGCTCCTGCACCCCTTCCCCCCCTTCCCAGGACGAGAACGGGCGGGCGAACGCGTATAAAGAGGAAGGGCGAGAGCAGCGGAAAGGGAAGAAAAAGGAGAAGAGGAAGGAGAAGAAGAAGCAGAAGAAGAAGAAGAAGAAGAAGAAGAAGAAGAAGAAGAAGAAGAAGAACGTCGTCAGGATGGATGGCGTTTGCGCTGGCGGCGCGGCCACGCCCGAAGTAAGGCGGGACACCCTGCCAAATGATGTGCGGGTTCCCATGTGGCCCTTTCCTCGGGAACACCCCGCCACTTAACAAGATACTGCGCCTCCTCTCCAGTCCCCTTTTGGTCCAGGATATAGTCGACAAGATACTGGTCCGTAGGGTTGCCGGCGTCATCGTGTGTTGGTGGCCAGCCCATTGGACCTTCGTGTGGAACTAAAGCGGGATCGCGGGGATGATGTGGGACCAATTGTGAAACATGAAAAACATTGTGTCCCTCGTATGTGGCGGGCAAAGCAAGACGGTAAGCGACCGTGCCAATGCGTTCGGTCACTGTGAAGGGCCCACGGTATTTAGGTTCAAACTTAGAACAATGGTTAAGAGCAGGTAAGTGTTTGTCACTAAGCCAGACTTGGTCGCCCACCTTATACTCCACAGCCCTGCGGCGGGCGTCAGCGTAGTATTTCTGACGCCACTTTGCCTGGATGATGTGGCTCGTGCGCGATCGCAGAGCTGCCGGAAGAGTTTAGTCATAAGGGGAGTGAGCGTAGGAGCCAAAGCACCAACAATGTCGAGGTCCGCTGCGGTTAAGGGATTCTCCGCAATCATGATTTCGAAGGGGGAAAGCTCAGTAGAGGAATGACTGGTGGTGTTATACGCTAGCTCCAAGGCAGGCAGCAGGCCTTCCAACTCCCTCTCATCTGCCTGGATGTACGTGCGTAGCATCTGTTCAAGGGTGCGGTTAACTCGCTCGGTCTGGCCATCCGTTTGCGGGTGGTAAGAAGAAAACACCGCCCGGGTAG